GTTCTTCTGAGTAAATCAGCATTCACATGAGCTGTTCCCCAGACCCAGAATGCACTCCTTTCTCACCTCAGCCTCTCAGAATACTTGTTTTCCTTCTGAGCTGATATCAGGGCATGTCTCTTCTGTTCAGCTCTCCCCACCCCACCCAGCTGTCAGTGCTCTCTTCCCCCTCAATTCTCCTTGTACTATGCTTATTTTTGTGCATGCTGTATATGTGCCCTCCTTGTAGATTGTAAGCTCCTTGAGGGCAAGAACAGTTTTATTTTTGTGTTTATATCACCAACAGAGTGCCTTTCACAGAGAAGGCACTTAGAAAAATTTTGTTGAATTTAATTGAAGTAGATGATGGGTTTCCAGTTGGAAGAGGGATTATTTTGCTCAACATGAGAAGACAGAATTACGAAATTGGACAGCAGTTACAAAGAGACATATATCACCTCAATTGAAGCAAAAATATCCTAAGAATCAGAGCTGTCAAAAAATGGAATGGATTGTCTCAGGGATATTGAGTTCTCCATCACCCAGATCTTTAAGAAAAAGCTACCTGAGCCCTTGTCATGATGCCCTCAGGTGATTGCTGCTCACATATTCAGGAATGGACTACATGACCCTCATCACCCCTTCTAACTCTAAGATTCTGATTCTAATATGGCAAATATGCCATATTATTATGAATGTTTTTTCACTAATACACATATCAGATCAGAATTTTCATTTCTATAAAAGTAGTGCCTAATTAAATTAAAGAAACTGAAAAGCCTATTTCTCTCCCCCTCACTCTTTGTCTCCTACCTCCAAATCCTTCAATCTATCAGCCACTGTCTTTCTTTTAGTTCTGGGATTGCCAAAAAGTCCCTGGGTAGTTAGATCCAAGATTCCCAGTTAATCTCTCAGGTAACTTAGTTTTGAAAAATTCTAAACCAGATTAAAAATTGCAGTAGACTATTCCTTTCAGGTAGTGAAGGATTAGAGGCAGGAGTGGGTAGGAGAAGGAGCATAGAGTGGGGATGGATGTATTCATGAGTGAAGGAGATATAAAACAAGATACTAATAAAAAATGTATTTAAATTCCCATTATAACTTTTTAAATTGAACCTCAGTACCAACAGTCACCCTGCCAGGCAAATCCAGACCATGAGAACTGCATTAAGAGCCTTTGAGCATTTCATATTAGTCTATACTCTCAGCTGTTCCCTTTTGCGCTACATGGGTACAACTACCACACACTCCACATTTCCCAGGACCAACTTAATTTTAAGAAAAGAATGCTTGCTTTTAATGAGACTTGGTAAAAGGAATATCCTCTGTCAGGCCATGTCAGATGACCATCGAATGCAAAAGGTAGAGGTATCTCCTCTCCCCCTTGAAACTAGAATGAAGAGTGATGATTTCTTTTTCAAGACCAAGGATTCTGGGAATTAATTATCCCAGACTGGAACCAAGTTGGAGAATAAAGAAAAAAGACATCTCAGAACCAATGGGAAAGGGAAAAGTGGGGCACTCACCTTACTTTGAATCCAGATTTTTCCACAGTAGTGTAGCAGGGATCCCTAAGCCGAGAATTTTTTTCTTAGCCCATCCAGAGGTCAAAAGTAAAGCTCTAGCATCAGGGAAACAGAAGGTGCATCTAGGAAATGTGTAGTTTTTATTCCAGAGTATAAGACCCTAAGCTGGGAGCTCAGGAGATTCTCCAGCTCTAACTGTCCCCATAAAATAAACAGACTACACCCTGTCTGTCTGTCGCTGATAAAGCAATAGGGCAAAGTAAAGAAGAAACTCCTGATATAACAGAGGAACCACAGAGGAACTCTAAGGGAGGGAATTTCACCTCTTAATTCAAATACTCCCACATTTTCAAATGTTAATCACACATTCATTAACCATTATATCATGCCCCTTCTGCAACATCTACAACAGTCCCTAATTACTTTTCAAGACAATTTAAAACTAACGATTGGCTTCCACAGCATCCACCAAAGGCCAAGTTTATTAATGAAATGACCTTCATCTCCAGTTACACCTTGGTTCATGCACTCTGCAAGCAAACCTGCTTACTGTTTACATACTTGAGAAACACCTTCCCAGTCTCCCAAACCAGCTAGTCATTCTACCTGTGATGGTCTTTCCTTTGTGCTCTGCCAAATATATCCTTCCCTTTCCTCTCTCCACATTTATTAAAGTCCTGCTGCTTGCTTCAGCTCCATCCTAAGCCTTCTGGGAGTACAGATGCATATAAGACGTTATTCCTGCCCTTGAAAAATTAGCAGTGGAATTGGAAAGACTAGCCATACAAACAAAGGACAAGCTACTCCATCTACCAACTCTGGGAATTTTCACTAGATGTCCTCTATGTTTTAGAATGCTTTCCCTTCTCATCTCTGCCTTCTGGCATTCCTGGCTTCCTTCAAGTCCCAGCTAAAATCCCACCTTCTACAAGAAGCCTTTCCCAGTCCTTCTTAATGTCAGTGCATTCCCTCAGAGATTATCTTCAACTTATCCTGCCCATATCTTTTTTTTTATTTTTTTATTTTTTAGGCAATTGGGATTAAGTGACTTGGTCAGGGTCACACAGCTAATAAGTGTCACATGTTTGGTCTGAGGCCGGATTTGAACTCTGGTCCTCCTGACTTCAGGGCCGGTGCTCTATCCACTGCGCCACCCAGCTGCCCCTTACCCTGTCTATATCTTATTCTTACATACCTGTTTGCACGTTGTCTCCCCCATTAGACTATGAGCTCCTCAAGAGTAAGGGCTGGTTTTTTGCATTTGTTTGTATCCCTAGCACTCAGCACAAAGCCTGGCTTAGTAGATGCTTAATAAATGCCTGTTGACTTGACACACAATAAACGGACAGTTACAATCAACATCTGAAGAATGCAAAAACTATGCTGAAGGTACTGCTCAGATCTACCTTACATTTCATCAGCATAGGCTTGGCAGAGCCATTTCAGGCAAAATTTTCATGGAGTATTACACATTGATAGGGTCATAAGATTTAGAAATGAAAAGACACTTAGAGATCATCAAATCCAAACCTATCAGTTTACAAATGACAAGTTAAACACTTGCCTAAAGTCACAGAAGTAGAAGGTAAACAACAGTGGTCAAAGTCATCTGACTCCATATCCCATGCTCTGTCCATTATATTATGCTGCTTCTCCTTCTGGTCTTCCGTCATTCAATCAGTTAGCGTTTATTAAGCACCTGCAATGTGCCGGGCCATGTTACAAACACTGGGGATACAAAGAAAGGTAAAAGACAGTCCCTGCCCTCCAGGAGCTCACAGTCTAAAGCTTTGGAACTTCAAGAGAATATAAACTCTTTGAATGAAGTTCAGTAGAATATAAACTGAAAAGGTTTCAAGTACAGCTCAATTCTGTGCTTGTTTTATTAAGAACAGGCTAGCTAACTTGAGCTAGGTTCATTTCCCAAGTGTTGCCTAATCAGAGGATTGCTCCTTTATTATTTTTTTTCATCATGGCATCCGATAAAACTATTTTCTGAGGTGTGTAGTATGTGCTGAGGTGTATAACATACGCTGAGGTATAATAATTGTGGCCTGCATTGTTGAAGTGGCCACATCCATAAAAATCACATCTTTTTTATTATTATTATTGGTGTAAACTAATGGTTTGTGCACATCATTTTTTTTTCCATTTGCTCCCTTGTTGGCCCTCTTCAGAAAATGAGAATGATCTTGATATCTTTGGTAAGAAGAAAGAAGACAGATAGGGAAATTTTTTGAGCCTGTCCAAATTGGGGTGAAGTCTCATTATCAAAGCCAGGGGTAGACTGATTTTCAGTGAAGGTCCAGTAAAGTAGAAGGTCTATGTTGGGGGGCAGCAGGACATGAGTGGACTGGGCCAAATTTGGATTTGTGGGGACAGTAGGGAGCAATTTCTTTAATAGAGGAGGGACCTTTTCAAGGAAGCTGAGCCTGACAGTGTGCAAAAGTTACATCAGTGTTACAGAAGTAACATCACAAGAGATATGATTCCTTTCTTGGAGGAGGGAGGAGGGGAAAGTAGGGAAGAGTTCGGGGGAAAAAGCAGTTTTAGATTGGGGCGAGGTATGTGGAATAGTAGCAAGAAGGAAATTGCAGTTTTGAAGATCTGGGATAAGGTTGTTTGGTGACCAGGATAGTGAGAAACCTGAAAATTACAGGAGGATTGACAGAAGGAACAGGACACAGTTGGCATTTAGCCTGGAGAAATTAAGATATGTTAGCTGTCTTCGTGAGGGGAACGGCTTCGTTGGGGAAGACAGATGACCTGTTCTCCTGGTCCATTAAGACGACAAGGTCCTCAAGGAGAAGGACCTTGTATTCCCAGACTATAGCACGTGAGAGGTGTTTTCATTGAACTGCTTGGGCCCAGAAAGCAGAGAAGGAAGTAATGGTTAAAAGTTTCAGAAAGGTAGACGAGCTCCATTTAAGGCATAATTTCATAACGATGAAGTGTTTTCCAAAAGTGGAACGACGGGGCTTCATAGATAGGATCGTAGATCTAGAACTGGACGGGACCATTCAACCCCCAGCCCCATTTCACAGATAAGGAAACTGAGGCTAAGGGTAAGTGACATGGCCGGGGTTGCATTGCTAGTGTTTGTGTCAGTATTCAAACTCAGCTCTTCCTGACTCCCAGTCTGCCTCTAAAGGTAGTGAGTTTCCAGTCACTAAGGGTCTTCACACAAAGGCTGAGTAACAGCTGCAGGTACGGCTTGGGCGGGATGAACTGAGGGGCTTCTTCAGGCTCTGAGAGTCAGTGATTTTTGGCTTGAACCCTCACCCCGCCTCCTCCAGGTGGCCCTCAGGTACTGCTCCCTCTCCCGTTGTTTCCTGAAAGGCTTCCACAAGATCCTTTCCAACATTTGGTCGCCCCGCGGTCCTCCCCCTAATTGCTCAGTGCGCATACTTCTCTCCCTCCGCGGGAGCGCGCGCGCGCCCTCTCCCAATCCCTCCTCCCAGCCACCTCCTGGACTGCGCGTGCCAGTTTCTTCCCCTCCCCCACGCCCCTTGTTCGCTTGTTTCTTCTCCAGGCAGGGGGAAGGAATCGAATTCCGAATTCGCGATCGGATCGAGTGCCCCGCCCCTCTCCTCGACATTTTGCCCAGGGAGGGAGGTAGGAGTTGCCCCGGGGCGGCCCGGGGGGGGGCGGGGAGTGCTTGTGACCCAGGATTGTAGTGGAGGGGGAGACTCCAGCGGCGAGGGCGGGAGCGAGGGGGGGCCGTTGTTTTCGCCTCGCCACGGCTGGCTGTATCCGAAAGCCGACCTGACACGGACAAAGAGCCCGAGGACCGTTGTCTCTAGCCCTATCTGGGAGGCAGCGCTGGAGGCCGGGGAGATGAGAGGGAGGATACCCGAGGGGGGAGGGAGCAATGGGAAGAACATTGGCGGGAGGGAGGGAAGAGAGAACAGCGGCGGAGAGAAGGCCTGGGGAGAACAGCCGAGGGGGGGAAGAGGAATGGAGAGAACAGCTGCGGGGGGAGGGAGGGATGGATAGAAAGAACAGCCGCGGGCGGAGGGCGGGGCTGGGAGTAGGACCGCGGGAGGTGGGGGTAGAATTGGGAGAGCAGCTGCCCTCGGGGGGAGGGACTGAATGGAGAGAACCGTAGCCCTGGGGGGAGGGGTGAATGGAGAGAACAGCTGGAAGGGAGGGGAGGGGCATTCGTGGGAAAAGGGGGGCTGTGGGACAACCTTTGGGGGAGCAGAAGAGGACAGCCGGGGAGGGGGCTGGTTGAAAACCCCAGTGGGACGCCGGGGATGGGGGTGTCCTGGAGAGTCGTTCCTGCCCTGTCGAAGGGGCAGGTCCTGGCTGGAGTGGCCTGAGCCTGCCTCGAAGTGGTAGAAGAGCAGGATTTGAATCCAGAGGCTCCGAGTCGCAAGTGCCAGACCTAACCAGTATCTTAGAAACCCTGAGCGAGGCCCTCCCGAGGCAGTTTCTCCATCTGTAGAATGAGGGGCTTCCTTTCTAGTTCGCAGTCTCTGATCTTTGGAGAGTTTGCCAGTGTTTCAGGGTGGTGAGGGGGGTGGGAGTTCTCCCCCAGAGGGTGGTGTTCAAGGTGCTTGTCTTTCTTTCCCCCAAAAAACCTTTTTTTTTTTTTAAGCTCTGAAGAGGTCAGCTCTGTCCTCGTTTCGGTCAGAGCTGTGCTTAAATTGCAGAGAAGGTAAGGCATGGAGCCTTCTGGTCGGAAAGAAAAACCCAAGGTGAAGGAGCCTGTGAACCGAGTAGAGAAAGCCAGGCAGAGATCAGCTCAGCAGGAACTGAAGCAAAGACAAAGGGCCGAGGTGAGCCCCAGCTGTTCTTGGGTTGTTGTTCAGTCCTTTCAGTCACCCCAGGTGGGGTCTTCTTGTCAGAGGAACTGGAGTCGCTTGCCATTTCTTCAGCTTGTTCCACACGTGAGGAAACTGAGGCAAACAGTGACTTGCCCAGGGTTACACAGCTAGGCAGTATCTGAGGCCATATTTGAACTCAGGAAGAGGAGTCTTCCTGACTCCAGGCCCAGTGCCCACCTAGCAGCCTGTTCCTGGATGCCTGAAAGGAAACTGATTCCTCATTGGTCTCCCTGCCCCATGCTTCTCTCTTCAGTGTACTTTTCACACAATTGCAGGGCTTTTCCTGAAGAGCAGGTCTTGCCATTTCCCTCAATAAACTCCAGGAGCTCCCTGTTTGTTATCTCTTGGCTCAAATATAAACCCTCTCTTTCTAGCCCCTTTACATATAATTCCCATTCATGAATCCTAGGGGCTCTCATTTCGATGAGTTTTCACTGACTGTCCTCCATACCTGGAATGCTCTCTCTCTCTTTGTTCTACCTCTTAAAATCCTTGGTTGCTTTCTCGGTTTCTCTTATCTTCCACCCCTTCCTTTTCGTTCTGCCTGCCATTGCTCTAGTCCTATCCAGAGGCTTTGCAGCCCCATGGGAGCAACTTGTGAAGGTGAGTGTCCCAACCCCAGCTCTGTTCAGTTCCTGGCCCTGGAGGATAATCAATGGTACCTGCCCTCAGTTGAGTTACTGTATGCACACCACAGCTCTCCACTGCCGACAGACCTTCTGCCCTTCATTATTCTTCATCCTGGATGAAGGAAGGAAGAGCTTCTGTCCCTGCCCTATGCAGACACTGGGTCAGAGACCTCCTTGCCCCAGGATTGTCTGCCCTGTGTCCTTTCTGTGGCCCTCCATTTCCTCCCAACAGCCCAGGCATGAAGGTGTGCCATTAGCAGGAACTTAGGCTTCTGACTTCACATCTCCTTCTCCCTTCTCCATTCCTGGTCCTGGGTGGTTGGCATTCACAGTTGGCACTGCCCTTCTCAAGGGTGGGACTTGGTAGTGAAGGCTGGCTCTCCAGGGCCTTCTGCCACCACACCAACATGGCAGCCCAACCTTAACACCAAGCAGCCACACACTGGAATAGAAAGGTTCCTCTGCTCTGGAACGGCCATGGGTTATCTGTATTACCTACAGCAGAGGCCAGCATAGGGCCTTACTTACAGTAAATAATTTGCAAAGGTTTGTTAATATAGTTAATATTGAATTAATATGTGGAGCCCTCACACCCCTTTATCAGTCTGCTTTATATCATTGATATTTGTGAACTTGCCACCTTCCTACTGCAATGACCAGTGAATCATGGCATGGATCAGACTGCTGAGGTCTTTTAAAGTTGTTTTCCTTTAGAATCTCTTTATACACTGGTCATATTCTACTCACTTCACTAAGCATCAGTTCATACAAATCTAGCTAGTTTTCTCTGAAGTATCAGCCCTTTTGTCATTTTGGGCAGCAAAATAATATTCCATTATATTTGTAGACTATGATTTCTTCACCCATTCCCAAATTCATGGCTTTTTAAAATTAATGAGTTCTGTTTGACACAAACACTTTGCTCTTTGGGAGTCATCTCTGGCCAGTGACTGTGTGACCTATTGTTTCGGTTTCATGATGTGTTGTTGTAGAACCTTCTCAAAGAATTCAGAGTCAGACCACCTCTAATCCAAGTATAGGCTTACCCCATCAGTGGGTAGATAGGCAGTCAGGAGGATGCCAAATCTAGGTTATTGGAGAAAGGCAAATGTAGTTGATGGTAACAGATTTTTGCTGTTATTGTACGTCAAACCATTTTAAAAACTTATTTCTCAAAAACAAACATAAAGAATAGAACTGTAAACTCCTAACAATTCATTTCATAGGAAAAGAGATACTTTAATAATATCATATGAATAGCATTTTGTTTGTTCAGTTTCCCCATCTGTTTTTGTCTGTACTTATCAGTTTTCTTGCCATTGTTTTTATATAGTTGTAGTCGCTGAAGGCCAGTTCTGCTTTCTTTTCCCTGTCTCACATCACATCTCTCTATTTGTAACTTTTGTGGTTCAGTAAGCATGTTATATCAGCCCTTCCCCAGTAGTCATCTATTTCCAGGTTTCACTATTATTATTATAAACAATGCTGCTTTGAATATGTTTGCATAAATAAGTCTTTTTTCCCCTTTAAGTGACATCCTTAGAAATCTTTTTGTATGTTGCCAGACTGTTCTCCCTCAGAATACACCAGTGCTGCCTTTTGCCCTTGTCCTCCCTTCCTCCCTCCATAGTCAGTTTTGTGATTTTTTAACAACTGTTGCCAGTTCGGCACTTTCTTCGTGTCCCCCATGTCACTGTGGAGCCTTTATCCTCTTGCCTTTGATTCCTTCCTGTAGAATCTCTGGGCTGTACTGACCGACATACCGAATCTCCTCATTCCAAGCCTCAGCTTCTTCACGTGTAAATCGGGAATAAGGATATCAGTAGTCCCTGCCTCACAAATGTCCGTGATGACTGTTCACACCAAAAAACTGATTTCATCTTTTTTTCCCTTCGTGTCAGCTGGAAAGCCTGGTCTTCCAGCCCGATTTGTAAACAGGCCCTTTCACAAAGCCCTTCCTGATCATCTCGCTAAGTACCTTACTTCATCTTTGCCATCTTTCTTTCTCCTTCAGATTTATGCTCTCAACAGAGTCATGACCGAGCTGGAGCAGCAGCAGTTTGATGAGTTCTGTAAGCAGATGCAGCCTCCAAGAGAATGAGCTCTCCCCAGCGTTGAGACCAGGTGGGGCCCCTGAGGCTTCGGTCATGACCTCTGTAACCAGTTCTTCTGAGGTGGCTTGCTTTGGGCCATACAGATGTAGAGACAAAGATTTATGTACTTCCTAAAGCTGGATAAATCTGAATTTACTGCTCTTTGTGCCTGCCTCATCACCCATCCCTCTCTTCCTCAGGTCAGCATCATCTTTCTGAAGACCTTTTTTTTTCCTGGATTTTTTTTTTCAGCTTCAGTTGTTTAAGCTGGGGGTGGGGGCGGTGGAGAAGAAAATCAGTGTTTCTAGTGGGACTTTATCACTTCTCCAAGAAAACAAATAAACTACAAATTCAAGGCCTACTTGTCCAAGCCTTAGCTTGGATGTCTGAGTCCTAGAGGCTAGAGTTTTGGTGGGTAAAGGAGATGAGCAAAGAAAACCTAGAGTGCTCACTATGCCAGAAAGAAAGGACGCGTGACATATTGATGGAATGTTCTTGCTGCTTCCTGCTGGATCCATCCATTGCTACTGTTGCTCCTCATCTGCAGCTGCTTCCAGCTGTTAGGTTTTTGGGGGTGATGAGGGGGAGAATGGTGCTGAATGGTTGCAAACATGTGGGTCATTGGTACAGATTTGTGGAAATCCCATAATCCTGACTGGAAACCTCAAAGCCAGGTTTCTTCTGTTGCCCTCACAAATGGACACTGAACAGATTGACCACAAGAGGTGGGTGGTTTTTCAGTGTTATTCTCTTTCCTTTGAAAGCAATGGTAGCAACCTTAGAAAGTAAGCAGTGAGAAATGAGCAGAGTCAGCCAGCTACCTATCCAAATTTTGGGGGACAGTCCCTTGAATTTCTCTTACTCTCACTTGTTTCTAACAAGTGTCGTAGACATGGTCATTTCTGTCTAAACCCTTGTAGATGAAGCTATAGCACCTCACGTTCATCTATTTTCTGATATTTGGGAGGAGGAAACGATCCTTTTTCAGGGACAAGGGACTAGTCTGCTGTAGAAATGGTTTAGGAAATGATTTGTGAGAATGTAGATAGGAAAAAGGTCACTCTGACAGAAATAGGATGGGAATGTGTGGGAATGTCCTAGTGTCCTCCCAGGAGTCCAGACTAACAAGGCTTAGCTATGAATTCACCTTCCCAATGAGGTCACCAGAGCATGTCTGGGCTGCGCTGGAACTACTCCTTCCCGTATTTCCTCTATGCCCTTGCTGGAGCCTCCAGAGTCCCAGTCCTAGCATTGCAGCCTTGAGGAGTGACAGAGGATGATGGGAGAGTCTCAGCTCTATTTCCCCTCTGCCAAGGTTGTGCCTGGGGGAGATGTGGTGCAGCATTGCAAGTTGGAACTTGGAATAAATTTTCACATAAAAATTATGTTATAAAGGATAGTCAGTTTCTTTTATACTTTGTAATTCAGCTAATTATAGATTGATCAGGCCTTTGTAGGATCTCTTAAGAATACAACATTACTTTTGTGGGGAGTGTGCCACGTTCCAAATAGCCAACTTGTAGACCCATGGAACAAAACCCATTGGTAAATTGGGAACTGTCTTTGTTAGGTTCTCTTCCATGGCCTGGCTTGTACTGTCGATAAACTGGAAACTGGTGCATTCTTTTGGTGTTAGAAGGTGCTGCTCCAAAGCAGAGAGACAGGCCTCTGCATGTGGGGCCAAGATTCCTCTACTCATCCAGGGACTCCCTTCTCTGTACTCCTTTCCTCCTGGCTGGGGTGCCGAGCAGTCAGCCTTGTGGCAAAACCTGTGGCATACACCCCTGCTTGGGAACCTCCTAAGTCCAGGGTGTTGTGTTTTCAGTTTTTTGTGGGCCCCAAGGAGGTCAGAACTGCTGCTGCTGTGTATTTAAAAAGTCCAGCTAATGCAGATCCATTTGAAATAGAGTGATCAGGCTGGGTAGCTAGCAAGGTTACTGGCAGAGGAAGTTTGCTTGTCTGGGGGTGGGAGTGGAGATGGGCTAATAAGAGGAGGATTCAGCTGGAAGAGAGAAGGCCTATCAATTCCTAGTTCAGAAAGCCACTAATACACCTATGACCAGTCAGTCCCCAAACGATTATATCCAAACTCCTTCATCTATGGAATAGGTATAGCAGTCCCAGCCCTCTCACTTTCTTTTGAGAGGGAGCCCAAAGGAATCAGTTAGATTTTAGAAAACACCAGCCCCTAAGAAACAGTAGACTCAGTCAGCTGTAACAGGAGTTGGGGAAAGGGGTGTGACTTTCTTAAGTTCATGAAGGGCACTTTATTTTTTAAACTTGGAAGGCAAGTGCTCATTTCTCAATTTAGAGATCAGAAGCATTTTCATTAAAGAAAGTCATTCTTCAGTCAGAATTGGACAGTACAGGTGGGAAATGGTGATTTTTTTTGGTCTAATTCTAATTTTTTTTATTAATTTATTTTGATTTATCAACAATTACTTTGATAAGCTTTTGAGTTTAAAATTTTTCTCCCCCTCCCTCCCCACGACAGTGTGCAATCTGATACAGGCTATACATATACATTTCTATTAAACATATTTTCCCATTAGTGATGTTGTAAGTAAGAATTAGAACCTATGAGAGGAACCATCAGAAAGAGGAAACAAAACACAACAGAAGAAAAAAATAGCAAATAGTATGCTTTGATCTGCATTCAAACACCATAGTTCTTTCTTTGGATGTGGATAGCATTTTCCATTATGAGGCCTTTGGAGATGTCTTAGATCCTTGCATTGTTGAGGAAATAGTGATTTTATTTTAACAGCAGAACTTAATACATCCAAATGGGTGTTGTCACCTTCACAATGGTTTGCTTGGGAAGCTGTATTTCATGCAGCCATTGCTCATAACCCTGGTAGTGCTTCTCTTAGAATTGTCTTCACAATCCAAGCCATGTTTTTCCGGATCTCCTCAGTAGTAGCAAGCATTTGTCCTTTGAGGGTAGATGTAGTTGATGATGTTGGCAACTTGGTCAGAAGTTTTTGAGGCCGTAAGTAGAAAATAAGGAGAATAAGCAGGCTGAAGAATCCCAGAATTGGCTGAAAAACAAGGTGTTCTCTCCAAAGGGATGGGATTACTTTAGGTGGTTCATAAAGCAAGTCTCAGAGAAGAGCTGAGCTTCAGTTGGTCCCTTTTTCTAGGGCTCTAAAGGGAAAAAAAGATAATTACAAGGTAGAGGCAACCTGAGGGTTTGGGGGCCTTCAAGGTAAAGATTTCCTCTGGCAAAGGGCTGGGCTGAAATTCCTGTTAAGAAGGCTAGTTTCCTGCTTCCTTGTTGGAATGAAGCCTACAGAGCTTCCTAATTTGGTAGCTCCTGAGAATTTGGCAAATGAGAGGTCTTACTATGGTGGGGATGGTGAAGAGGTGGGCAAAAACCACTTTCCATAACTGAGACTGCATGGTTTTATCATGGGGGTAGACGGCACCATGAAAGTCATCATTAGGATAATGAGGCTGTGAGAAGGAGCCTTTGGTTGGGTGTAGAGGCCAGGCTTTGAGGTAGTTACCAGGCTGGAATACCTGATTCTTGCAATTGCTAGAGGCTTAGACTACATGGATTTCCATGGTCGCAGCTCTGAGAGCCAAAAATGTTTTCAGCAATGCTTGTACCTTTGCAGTCTTTGTAGAGCCCCCAAAGTAGGCTACTTTGGTGAACGCTTATTTGGATGGATGAGTTCTGTCAAACCAGTTTCATTCATAATCACATTTCACATTTGCATAACTGTAACTAAGACACTTCTAGGATGCCAGAACATAGTGTGTTGATGTCAAATCCTGCAGTGACGTTGAGTCAGGTATTTGGGAACATTTCCCGGATTTCTAGAGCTTGGGATGAAAACAGCACATATGTGGTCCCAGAATACATAGATAACGGGTTTATGCTGCATTTTGTCCATTCATGTTACAACTTTCAAAGAAGCCCAAGAGGTATAATCTTGGAACTGTTTTTTAAAAGGGGAAAAATTTTGAGTAGCAATATTCCAAATTGGTTTCACGTCCTTGAGATTTAGCATTTTTAAATAATATGAACACAACCTTCCCAACACTAGCATTAGTGGCAGGCTTATAAGTCACTCAGCCACTTCTGAACTGACCGTGTCCTTTCTGCCTCTCCTGTCTACACAGCAACAAGGAACAAACACCAAGTAAGACCAAACCCCAGCTGCAATGATTGTGTGGTGGAGGAGGGAGCAGGGCTTTAAAACAGCTGGCTTTGCACACCTTTCCAAGTGGTTTAGGTTGCCAATGTTCTTTTTGCAGCCTAACCCTCCCATGTAAATAAAGGAAATTCTTCTTAAAGGACAGACTATTATTGTTCCCTTAAAGGTTTCTGAAATGGTAGAGGATGGGATGGAGAATCCTGAAGGAAAGCAAAACTCTTGAAGTCCATTACTCTGATTTGTGAGTTCATACACAGTTCACTGAAGTCATGGTGAAAAAGAAAGGTTTATTAAGGATTAGGTGCAGCACGATGGCACACACTGGCTTGTTCCCTGAGAGCAAAGGGAAGGTTTGGTGAATGAGTTGTTCTTAGTGCTGGGGGCCAAGCTAAGCTATGCCCCATGTGGTGGTCGGGAAGAAGATGTAGGAGGTGGCTCAAAACCAAGTGGTGGAAAGGAAAACGAACACCAGAATACCAGGATAGCACCTGAAAGAGAAAGCCCATGCCTAGAGGGACTAATACATGTGGGGCTACCACTCCTAGAGCCCACTCATCCCCCCAGCTTTTTCATTTTAATGTCCTAAAATGTTCAAGATTATTAGGGATTGAATTGTGTTTATAGCCGCACTCTCTTTCCATGAAATCCCAACAAACCTGGAGAGAAAGGGAGGAGGCAGGAGTGGCTATGACAACCAGCACTAAGATCCATGAGTAGACGATGATGTCCTATGGCTGGTGACCAGGTCTGTTCCACTACTTAGGAGCCTAAAGAAGATTGAGTAACGTCAGTCTTATGATGGTAAGCTCAGACCTTTATCACACTTCTGCCTAGAGGAAGTTTGACATGCTCACTGTCTAGTCTGTAATGAATGGGGAAGGCAAACAGGGCTATTGGCACAGGCAGGAGGGAGATCCCCATGGGAGTAATGGAGTTTTGGGGTAAGGAAGGTTCCTTCTCACCCCTAGGCACACAGAAGGAACCAGCGATAAGATGATGGTGTGATTGTTGATGCCAGCATATCAGTGGTGAAATAGGACAGAGTGGAGGGGGAAGGACAGGATTTAGACCAAAGAAGAACTATCCCAGTACAGTGGTAATACCAAGAAGGTGAACTGGCCTAGTTCTACTGCCTGATTCAGTGTGATATTAGTACTGATCATTCCTGGCCCAGAATGGATTATTCAGAGTCTTGAAGAACAACTGTTTCTGTTTTTATTAAACCCCAGATTTCCACTCACCCAGGATAAAAATCACCTTCTTCAAAAACTGGGACTCCAAGATTTTGTTCTGGGGGGTAGAAGCATTGGCCCAGCCTGAAGCCCATCATCAGGATGACCAGGCTGCAAAGAAGGAGCTTGTTGCCTTTGGATAAGGGGAAGGTGCAGGCCAGCAAGAAGGAAGCATATGGGCAGGGTCATCCCTGGCACATGAAGGGGGATCCCTATGAAGGATATGATGCTCTTAGGACTTTGAATTCCTTTAAATGAGGGAACCTACCCAAAAGCATGCTTGTCTCTCCCCTGAAACCAATGTCCCCCCTGTAGGACATCAGCCCTTTGAGGGCTGAGTCTCAGGAGCTGTAAAACTTGCCTATCAAATAGGAAGGAGGTTGCCTCTACTATCAGAAGGGCACGTGCTTTGCATGGTGTTTGTAGCAATGGGGATGGGCTTGCTCTAACCCATCCTCTTCCTGGCTGGCCAGGATTAGGGCGCCTGCCAGAAAAGTAGAACTGACAGTGGCCCCGGCGTGGGAATTAACAGCTCTGTGCCTTCACAAACCAAGCCAGTGGGCTGGATGCTGAAGTTGAGCAGCGCTGCAGACCCTGGGGAAACTCAGAGATGGGGTTATACTCAGGAGTGAACATGTGCAGCTAGCTTCTTTCCTTGGACAGTCACCATGAGGGCCCTTTGCCTTCTCCACAGAGCTCCACAGCAGACAAAGGAGACACCTGAAGGCCCAGGTAGAAATCATTAGGTAGCCACACATCCCTGTAAAAGCCTAAAGGGTGCTGGGAAACCCTGCCTGCCTCCAAATCTCCTGTCTGCTTTTTGTGGACACCTGAAGTTTTGACACAGCTCCAGGTGTTTTATTTAAGTGTCCCAGGAAGCATAACACATTAGTGTTAGCTGCTATTAGCATCAGTAACGTGAATTGATTTGTCCAGAGTCTGTGGAATCCATCTAGACCCAGGTTTCTTCCCTTCTTCTGTGTCATGGCCCCCTAGGCCCCCATCTGGTGAAGTCAAGGACCCCTTCTCAGAATAAGGTAAAGCACATAGAATTATAAAGGAAACAAATTATATGGAAATACAGTAATCAAAATATTTTTTAAAACAAGTTCACAGGGGCAGCTAGGTAGTCAATAGAGTTCTGGCCTTAAGAGTCGGGAGGACCCGAGTTCAAAACCGACCTCAGGCACTTGACACTTAATAGCTGTGTGACCTGGGCAAGTCATTTAACCTTGATTGCCTCACCAAAAAAAAAAAAAAGTTCTCAGACCCCAGCTTAAGAATCCCTAGGGACACCTTCAATCTCTAGGAAGTCACATCACAATGAGGTATAGATCCCTCCAGCCTGGGAAGTGTTTATAATGTCATTATATAAGTAGTGTGGTGGATAGAGTGCCGGGCCTAGAGTCAGGAAGACTCATCTTCCTGGTCAAATCTGGCCTTAGACACTTACTAGCTGTATGACCTTGGGCAAGTCACTTAACCTCAGTTTGCCTCAGTTTCCTTATCTGTAAAATGAGCTGGAAAAAGAAATGGCAAACCACTCCAGTGTCTTTGCCAAGAAAACAATGGGTTCCCAGAGTCAGACACAGTTGGAACAAATGAACAATGACATAAGTATCTGAAACCTATACTAAAAGCAACATTATGCCATCAGCCTTGACCTCTGAGCAATGTCAAGCCCCATATTCTGCCTGCATCTCAGTTTCAGATATCTGAACCTAACTCTCTTTGTCAAGCAGTTACATTCCAAATCCCACTCCGGTCCCTTTTTTCCTGCCAACTGGCACACAGATGGGGTCGGGGTTAGTTCTTGCTAGGTGTAGCTCTTTATAGCATTTCACCAGTCAGGAATAGGCCATAGCAAGTGTGAGAAGATTCAGAGAACTAAGTCCCTTCAGGCCCTGGCTATGAAGTGGTTGCTGGGCCAGACCAGGCCAGTCCTGCAGCTCCCAGAGAGACTCTGAAATCAAGAAGGGGCCTCAGAGATCATACTAGCTGGCTGACTGTGGAGGACCCATAAGTGTCCAACAGCTTCAAGAGTCTTTGTCTGTGAATGTGAATCTGGAAGTTTTTATTTTCACTGGTGCAGTTTTTCTAAGAAAAGAGACAGTGCTCTCTGGTGATAGTCGTGTGGGTTCTATTCTCAAGATTAAAAGGCCTTCTAGGGAATGGGGAGCCCTCTGGGAGACCTTAAGAGCTGGAAGGGGCCATATAAATCATTTAGCTCAATTCCCCCCTTTCCCCTACCATTTTACAGATGGGAAAATTGAGGCCCAGAGAGGGAACGAGCCAGAATTTGAAGCCAGGTTGCCTGACTTTCAACCCATTCTGAACCATAATGAAAGTGTGAAGTTGATGGACACTCCCATTCATCTCTTCCTTGCACCCTTCCCCACATAGGTAGAACGTTTCCAGGGTTGAAATAATATGACAAAGCAATTCATATGGTGGTGATGTTTTACTGTCAGATAAACATTCTAAAGAACAGGGGTCTAGCTGTCCGTGAGGGGATTGGGTCAATGCTTTGCCATCTTTCCTTGTTCATACTAATCATCTCTATTCCCTAATCTAGACTGGGTCTGCCTGGCTCCCTTCCAGGAAGATAGGGGCCTGGGGATAATACAGCCATCCCCTAGGAGATTGACATGAGAATGGGTAGTTGACATTTCTTATGAAAGGGGAGTCGGGGCTAAGTTGGCCTTCCCTGATTTTCCAGCCACATACATATGACTATTTCCCCTACTGCCTGTCACAACACCTTAAATTCCACCATTAGAGATGGTTTGTTTTGTTTTTTTGTTTTGTTTTGTTTTGTTTCAGTCCTCAATATTCGCTTCTTGAAACACAAACAACTCTTGGAGAGGCAGCACATTAATTGCCCCTAACATCCATACATAATGGTCAAGGGGACTAGGCCCTGTATGACTTGTTTGGACACAGCATAAGTGCTGGGAATGGGGAGAAGGGAGAGGGGTCCTTAGGGAAGAGGTGTCAAAGACAAACTCCTGGAGACTTCAGTTTTACTCGGGAAGGCCCCCTTAAAGCAAGTTCTACTGGGTCATTTCCACCTCTGGGCAGACCCCAGGCTCTCCCATCTCCAGAGACCTGTAAGGCCTTCTGACTCTTGGGGCTTCTAGTTCGATATGACCTGAGGAAGAATCCCTTTTGCAGTCTCCTTGATAAGTCACACAGCCATCCCAGTTCTGGCCAAAGTTCTCCCATGGTCGCAGCTCTGAGAGCCAAAAATGTTTTCAGCAATGCTTGTACCTTTGCAGTCTTTGTAGAGCCCCCAAAGTAGGCTACTTTGGTGAACGCTTATTTGGATGGATGAGTTCTGTCAAACCAGTTTCATTCATAATCACATTTCACATTTGCATAACTGTAACTAAGACACTTCTAGGATGCCAGAACATAGTGTGTTGATGTCAAATCCTGCAGTGATGTTGAGTCAGGTATTTGGGAACATTTCCCGGATTTCTAGAGCTTGGGATGAAAACAGCACATATGTGGTCCCAGAATACATAGATAACGGGTTTATGCTGCATTTTGTCCATTCATGTTACAACTTTCAAAGAAGCCCAAGAGGTATAATCTTGGAACTGTTTTTTAAAAGGGGAAAAATTTTGAGTAGCAATATTCCAAATTGGTTTCACGTCCTTGAGATTTAGCATTTTTAAATAATATGAACACAACCTTCCCAACACTAGCATTAGTGGCAGGCTTATAAGTCACTCAGCCACTTCTGAACTGACCGTGTCCTTTCTGCCTCTCCTGTCTACACAGCAACAAGAAACAAACACCAAGTAAGACCAAACCCCAGCTGCAATGATTGTGTGGTGGAGGAGGGAGCAGGGCTTTAAAACAGCTGGCTTTGCACACCTTTCCAAGTGGTTTAGGTTGCCAATGTTCTTTTTGCAGCCTAACCCTCCCATGTAAATAAAGGAAATTCTTCTTTATTATAGAAGGAAAATCTAACTTTATTATATATTTAAAAGGAAAAGAAAGTTGTATGTAATAGATTTGCAGTTTCATGTGCAATCCTCTTTTAAAAAATTCTATTTTGTTATGGAAGTGCTTGTCTTGTTAAGTTCAGAATAAAAAGAAAGTCCTCTTTTACTAGACACTTATTATTCTACTGAACTGTAAAGCCTATGCATGGGATCTTACTCATTTCCTTATCCCAAATAGTGAGTGCTCCAGCATAAGACCCTGTACAAAGCAGGAATCAGCAATGCTTGTTGAGTGAATGAATGAATTTAGAGGTGGTGTAGGATAATAGAGAGGTAATTTTGAAACTATAAAGTCCTGAGTTCAGGTCCCAATGCTGACCTTATTTGAGGCAGCTGTTTAGCAGTGGTTGATGGCTGCTAGGCTTAGAGTCAGGAAGGCCTGAGGTCAGACTGCTTCAGTCTCTTCTGTTGTGACCCTGGGCAAATCGATGTAAAATGAGTGGGTTGGCCTTGGTGGCCTCAAAGGTCCTTTCTGGGACCTTCTGTGTATGATCTATGATCCTGTGACTTGGGGAACGGGGAGATGTCTGCTATGGCTATGGGAGGCATGGTGGATTATAAGTGTTAGAGGGAAGGGAGATAAGATGGGGACTGTCCTGAGACATGGGGTCTGGAACCCTCACTTACCCAGAGTAGAGCAGATGTTCAGTTGTCTGGCCACAGCCTCATCTGCTAGATTGAGCAAAAAGCTGAGGAGGAGGAGCCAAAAGGCACAACGGGATTTTCTGGAAGAAAAAAGCAGGAAAGGCATGGAATTTTAGAGCTAGAAGAGACCATAGAGACAATTTGCTCCAATACATTTTACAGTTATCAAAACTGAGGACCAGAGAAGGGAAGTGCTTTACCCAAGGTCATATATGACGGATGTGGCAAGACCTGGCATAGAATGCAGGTCTCCTGACTCTGAACCACATGCCCTGGCATGTGTTAGACCAGGCAATGTGCCCACCCTTGGCCCCTGACCTCAGCCCATAGCCACCTTAGCCCCTGGACCATGCCAGTCTGTTGAAGCTGCAGAAGATGGAAGACAACCCCATGACTATGGCCCAGGGACAGGATGTTAGCAGCATTCTTCCAGGCAAAACTGGCCAGCAGGTTTCTGCTCTTCGCATGGTGCTTGAAGTGCTTAATGTAATCAAAGAAACCTAGGATGAAGGCAGGGTCAACATGAAAAGTGTCACCAAGGCCTTGAACCTCTGGACTTTCAGGCCTTCCCACCAGCCTGGGGACTTCTCTTCCTAGAATGAGGAGTCCTTAGAGTAGTAAGTAGCTTCTCTATGGGATTTTCATCTTAAGTCCTATCTCTTCTTATCAGATAGGTGATGGGTGAGAGAACTGGGATGGGGCATAGAATAATGGCAGGTGTGGAGATAGAAGATGAAGGCAGGTATGGGGATAAAGGGTGGGACCAAATGTGGGGATAAATCATGGAAGTAGTTGTGGATGGAGAATGAAGTCAGGTGTGAGAATGGAGGCTAGAGGCTGTCATACTGGAGATTAGAGGACAGAATTAGAAGGCAGGGCAGAGGATGGAGTAAGAAGGAGACCAAAGTTTGCATTTGGTTCAGTGTGTCTGGGGCACACTGAGTTCAGAGCTCTGTAGGAATCAGAATCAGGAGTTTTTACTCAAACCCTCACTGAGCCCCTCTAGGGGTCCCCCCCCATCCTTTGTATTCCTTCCTCCCATGCATATTAACCCTTCAGTGGGCACAAAGGGCATCATCATCATCATTTTTTAAATACTTCATCTATAAGGCAAGGTTAGAAAAAGTTTTCCTCATAATAATGCTGTGAAATAGGCAACACATCATATTCATTTTACAAATGAATAAAATGAGTCTCAGATAAGTTGATTGAACTGCCAAGGGTCACACAGTAAATGTAAGAGTTTGCATTTAAACCCTGGTGTCTAAATGCCAAGTCTTAACCATTCTTTGCATGACACCACACTGAGTGTGGGGCGGTTCCAAGCTTTAGCCCTGGCCCTAAACATAATGTTCTCATTCCGCCAGGAAATGGAATGCTGACTTAATGATGACAGAGTTGAGCCAGAACAAGGCTGAAGAGAGATTGTATCCTCAGCCAGGCTGAAGCCTCCAGGAAGAGTGGGGAGAAGAAAGAAAAAGACAGAATGATGATGGCAAAGTAGACCCTTCCATTTAAAGAGAGAGGTTAAATGACTTCCTCAGTCACATTGAAGGAGGTGGTCAGTGGTATTGGAGAAGACCTCTCCCAGCTCTTCTAGTCCTTGTTGCCCTTTCTTTGTCCCAAACTCACCAAAGGGGCACTATCAGCATCTTTAGCTACTTAGCATTCTGGGGGATCCTGGGATCTTCCCCTACCAGGATCCCCAAACCCAAGAAGGACACAGGATCTTCAACAACTCCAGAAAGGCTGAAGAGCAGTAGGTTGGTCAGAGCCTGCCTGACTGTGACTTCAAACATCTGGGTGCCCTTCTGGTGAGCAGGGGCACCAGGGAGTTCTTACCCATACTGGGGTGCCTGGGCCAGAGACAGATGTCTTATACTCTCCAGTTACTTTGGAGGAATGATTTTTGGGGCAAGTTCCTTTCTTGGTCTCAGTTTTCTAATCTATAAAGGGAGAGAGGGGTGAGTAAGAGATCTCCCTAGTAGCTTAGAGACCCTAGGGAGGGAACCTGGGGTTTCAAGGGGTTCTGGTGTTTCCAGAGTAGCTATAAACACTGTTTGCTCAGACTGGCTGCTGCCCAGAGCCTTCTTTCTCCGAGTAATGAACAGAGAATGATACCCAACCTGCCACATCCCCATGTCCCCTAGCACTTGCTGGCTGAGCACCAAGCTATTCATTGGATATGGATGCATTGAGATGCATTGAAAGCTAGCAAATGCTCAGAGGTGACCAATAAGGGAGGAGGGGGGCGATCTGGAAACAATGCCATTTGAGGACTGGATAAAAGAACTAGAGATGTTTGCAATTTCTATTGCAAGTGAATTGGGAGTCAGAAGACAATATGATGGAAGGAAGCTTAGGGGCTATCTAACATTCCTCATTTTACAAAGAAACAGGCCAAGAGAGGTTCAGTGACTTGCCCAAAGTCACATGGGTAGTAGGAAGCATCATAGGATTAAACATACAAAGCTGGAAGGGACCTTAGAGGCTATCTAATAAAACACCCACACTTTACAGATTAGGAACTGAGGCCCAGAAAGGTGAGGTAACTTGCCCAAGGTCACATTTGTGGTAAATGACAGAGCCAAGATCAGGGTCCAAGCCTTGCCACTTGCTAACTATATGATGTTGGGCAAGTCATTTAGCTTTCCAAACCTCCAGTGTCTCCTCTGTATAATGAGGGGGTTCCCTATGTACAAAAATATTTATAGCTATTCTTTTTGTGGTAGCAAAGAAGTGGAAACTAAGGGATGTCCATTCACTGGGGCATGGCTGAACAAATTGTGACATATGAATGTAATAGGATCCTATTGTGCTATAAGGACTGATGGAGACAGTGTCTAGGAAACCTGAGAAGGCTGGTACCCTGCCCTGATACAGAGTGAAGTAAGCAGAGCCAGGAGAACAATGGATACAGTGATAGCAACACTGTAAACACAAGCAACCTTTAAAGGCTATCAAACTGTGATCAATGCAATGACCAGCCGTGACTCCAGAGGACTCATGATGAAGCGTGCTGCCCACCTCCTGCTATGGAGGGAGGTGATGAACTCAAGGTACAGACTGAGATAGATGGGTTTGGGGCCTGGCCAATGCGGGAATTTGTTTTGTTTTGTTTTGTTTTTCAATGGGAGTAAGAGAAAGCAGGAGGGAGAGGGAGATTTTTGTTTTGAAAAAAATTAAAAAACAAAAAAAATGAGGGGGGTTATGCTAGATGATCTCTAAGGCCTCTTCCAACCCTAAATACTCTCAACATATGAATTTATCCTGGACAAGAGATTCCTTAAGAAGGTATTCAAGTATTTGAAGGGCTGTCATGTAAAAGGGAGAATGAGCAGAAGGACTTCAACCCCAGGATGGATGACCTCTTGGTCAAGACATTTAGACCTGTTGTGGTGGGTTGGCCCGAGGGAACAGAACTGGGAGCCAGGAGGGCAGTTGCAAAGTGGCAGATGTTAGCTGATTTTTGCCAAACAATTGGAGCTACCCAACAAGAGCTGCCTTCAAACCAGTTCCACCTCAGTAGAGGTCTTTAAGTAGAATTGGACCTTTTGTTTTTGTTTTTTTTTAATGCAGTTGGGGTTAAATGACTTGCCCAGGTCACACAGCTAGTAAGTGTCAAGTGTTTGGTCTGAGGCTGGATTTGAACTCAGGTCCTCCTGACTCTATCCACTGCGCCACCTAGCTGCCCCTGGACAACCTCTTGTTAAGGAACCACTGAGTGACAGGATCTGAGAGCCAGAAGGGGTTTCAGAGGCCATTTAATCTGACCTGCACCCGAATTGGAATGTCCTCTCTGTGATGTATATGACAAGGAGCTGTCCAGGCTCTGCTCAATGACTTCCATTGAAGGGTAACCCATCACTGAGGCAGTCCATCCCACTCTAGGACAGCTCTGATTGTTCATTCTCTCCTAATCAGTCCTAAATAGCAGACTCTTTGCTTTTTTTCCTCTCTTACTGCTCTCGAGAGCTGCTAAAAAAAAGGTACCTATCTCCCAGCAGCCAAAATGTAATCATTTAACCTACAGACTGTCAGAGCTGGTGAGAATATTAGAAATCACCTAATCCAATCTCCTGAGGGTGGGGGTGGGGAAATGAGTTTTAAGAATGGAGAAGAGTGACTTTCCTAATGGCACAGCCAAAGTCACAGAAAATGGGGCTGAATTTTTATGTATGGGCAAAGCTGATGTAGAGGAAAAACTATATAGAGGAAAGGGTCCTGTACTGGTACTGGCAATCTGCCTCCCTAGAGCCACTTCCCCATTCACGTGTGTGTTAACCTGTGAACCAGCCTAGCTGAGCTTGGGGAAAAACTCATTGCAAATTAGCTACCAGGCGTGCAACATAAAAATGTCTGCCTTTGGACTCAAAAGTCCCAGGTTCAAATTGTAGTTTTGCTCATTGGACCCAGAGGACCTTAGACAAATCTCTTCTTCTCAATCGGTCTTCATTTTCTTCTTTATAAAATGGGGATAAGGGGTAGACTAGATGGTCCTGAGGGCCCCTCCAGTTCCACACCTAATATCCATTGATGATTTTCTAGACTCCTGGTTACTTTCTTCACCTAGAGTTCAGGATCAACCTGCCCCGATCCTTTATTCCGGTTTTAAGCTGGACTTTGAATACCTTGGGGAGGACCCCAGAGCCCTTATTCTGGAGCTTTAGACTGTCCCTTCCTGCGCCACCAGAAAAGATCCTGAGTCTACCACCCTATTTCCTCTGCTTGGCTTCTAAGGTTCTCACACCCTCCCTACAGTAGTATCTCCAGCTCAGATCCGATCCTTTCCACCGGACCCATTTTGGGATGTCCTCCAACCTATCTCCCCAGCCCCCTAGTCCTAGAAGAGCTGAGGATGAGAGCGGAGAAATCAGGCTTTGAAGCACCCTTCTTTTGTTTTCTGGAGGCCAGAGGGAAGCTACCCCTCTGGGATTACCTGGGGCCAGGGCATTCCCTGGGGGAATGGGGAAGGGGGAGGGGGACCCGGCATTCATCGGTAGCGGTGGTTGGGGCATCCCCAACTGGGGCACTGGCCTCCCTATCTACTCCCACATACCGCTGAGCTGAGTTCACAATCCCGGAGAGCGGAGGGGTCCTGGGGCCAGTGTCGCAGAGAGGGGCAGTTATTAACCTGTCAGAGAACTAGCACTTAGATGTGCTCATTTTTCCTTCCTTCTTTCCTTTCCTCCTCCCTCCACTCTCCCTTCCTTCTCTTCTTTCTTTTCCCTTTCGTTCTCTCTGTCTTCTGTCTCTCTCTTCCTTCTTTCCTTTCGATAGTTTGGCAAGGCAATCGAGTTTTGAGACGGTCTACTGGAGTTTGCCCATTTCAGATATTCACAAACCGAGGCTTATGTGGACCACCCTTCCCATTACACATGCCTCCCAGCCTAGGGAAGAGTCCTATAGACTGTGGCAGAGCTCTAAGTGGACCGACAGAGGAAATTGAGACAAGTTCCCTGGATATGAGATTCTTCCTTCTACTCCTGGCTCCAAGACCCTGGAAAACAGCAGTCTCCGCCCTTCTGATGAGCAGGCAGTGGGAACAAGTCCAAAGATAAGTAAAGTACCAGGTAGGATGTAACTAGTGCTGGGGAAAAGGGAGAGAAACCCAAAGCGTTCTGAGAAACTGTAAGGGGAGGACCCTTTCAGCTAGAGGAAATAGGCACCTTGGCTGAGCCTTGAAAGGAGAAAGAAGACAACGTATCTGAGACTCGTGGAAGCAGCCAGGGCAAATGCATGGAGGCAGGAGATGGAATATCGGAACATAGCAGGAAGATTAAAAAAACAACAACCACCTAATAGTACAGTTTAGCTGGAACTTGAATGTGCAGAAGTGTAATCTTTTGGACTGAGGCTGGGCAAACACATTGTATTCAAATCATGCAAAGCCTCCTCCTAGAAGCAATTTATTCTATCCTGAAAACTTTTGAGCTGGAGAGTGCCGTGATCAGGCTTGAACATTAGGAATATTTCAGTAGTCCTGTAAAGAGAGATACTGAAGACAGGGAAATAAATTAGGAGGCGACTTTCTAAAATTGTATTTTATTTTGTCAATCAGCAAAAATCCACCTTCTCTCCCTCTCACCCACCCCAACCCCCCACCCCAAGAATGAAGAATAAAGGAAAAACCCTTGCCACAGACATATAGGGGGAAGGGAATGAGATGTGAACCAGACCATTGTCTGGTTAGATGTTAGGGAGAAGGAAGAGTTCAAAGATAAATGGAAGATTTCTAGCCGGGATAGAGGATTCCACCAACAGAAATAGGAAAGTGGGGAGGAAGCATGTGAGTGTGGAAGGGGAAATGAAACCATAGGGTACTTTTGTTTTTATCCTTACTTACCTGCTCTTGTTTCCATTCTCAAAACGTCTTTTAAAAATCCCGAGGTCATTTCCTGTTCAGCCACATTGGTCTCTTTAAGAAGTCTCTCTCTTCCACTATGTTTCCTCACTGTAATCATCTGTGTCTTCTAAATGTCCTTCTGGAGTGTTTCTCATCTCTCTTCGGATGATTTCCTGGAGTGCAGTTTTCTCCTTCCTCAGTCCTTTTCACTTTAAAGACCTCGTGATCAGATTGACAAGAATCCAAGCAAAGATATTAGGTGGTACCTTATACCTTCCATCTATTGTGTACATATCTTTATGTACCTAGTTTTTTACATGCAGTCTCCTCTAAGACTGTGAACTCCTTGAGGGCAAGTACTATGGTTTTGCCTTTCTTTGTATCTCCAGTATTCAGCAGTGATTGGCACATAAACTCTTAACAGATGCTTAGTGACTGCCTGGCTAAGGGCCCATCATTCCCTATACTTTAAGCTGTGTCCAGACACCAAAAGAGTTTTCAGACACCATCTTCTTATCCAATCGTTCACCTGTCATATGTGGAATCCTTCCTTACCTTTCTATGAATACTTTGTAATCTACTCTCTCAAGGTCTAGGATCCATGACAAATTTTGCCTACTTCATAAACTCCATAATGATCATTTACTCCTAAGGTGCCATCATTTTTTTTTTTTTTTGCTTTTTGGTGAGGCAGTCGGGGTTAAGTAACTTGCCTGGGGTCACACAGCTAGTAAGTGTCAAGTGTCTGAGGCTGGATTTGAACTTAGTTCCTCCTGACTCCAGGGCCAGTGCTCTACCCATTGTGCCACCTAGCTGCCCAGTGCCTATCACTTTTATTTTAATAATTAATGTTCCTCCTTATTGACCAGAATCGAGTTCAGAATACCAATTCCCCTTTTGCTTCCTCCTTTTATAGGATGAAAATATTGATAAGACAAGCCAAGAATTTTTATCAATTATTCTACTTTCAGCAGAAAAAGAACTCCAGCAGACCATCTGCAAAGTCAAATTGCCTTCTGTTCAGGTTTGTAATCTGCTGATCTGTGAGAAAGCCATCTGTACTAGCTGTCTCCATTTCCTTTCCTCTAATCTTTTGCAGTATGGCAACTGGACTTCCTCATTCAAGTGATGAGATCAACTGTCCTCTCCAGAGGTACCAATGATCTGCCAAATATAATGGCCCTTTTCCCAAATCATCTTTCTTGACTTTTCTTCAGCATTTGACACTGCTGATGACTTTCTCCTCCTGGATACTCTCTTTTTTAAATTTTCCTGACTGCTCTCTCATATTTGGCCATCTATCTGACCACTCTTTAGTCTCCTTTGCTAGCTCCTTTATCCATGTCCTGTTCTCTTTCTGGGCACCGCCCCCCCTCACCCTGGCTGTCACCTTGTCTTTTCACACTATAGTATCTGAGTGATCTTGTCAGCTCCCTTAGGTTCAATTATCATCTGTATGCAAGATAATTCCCAAACTATATATCCAGCCCTAGTCTCTCTCTCCTGAGCTACAGTCAATTGCCAAAACTCTTGGATAACATGAACTGGATAGCCCAAAGACATCTCAAATTCAATGTGTCCAAAACAAAACTCATTATCTTTCCCCCAAAGTTCCCTATTATCCACACTCAGCTAGGTGCCACAATGGATATTGGTGTGTGTGGAGTCAAAATCCTGTCTCAGACACATACTAGCTGTGGGATTCTGGGCAAGGCACTTTCTTCATCTATAAAAGGGGAATAGCACCTGCCCCCAGGGTCATTGTGAGGATAAAATGCAGCACTTTGTAAGAAGCTTTGCAAACTTTCATGTGCTACATAAATGCTATTAATTGTCCAGGCTCACAACCTTGGTGTCACACTGAACTTCTCAGCCTTATCTCAGCTATCCAATCCATTACTGAAGTGTATTGTTTGTGCCTTCAGTCTCCCTCCTACAGATCCCTTTCTCTTCACTTACAGAGCCGCTGTCCTAGGTTAGACACTCATCACCTCTTCGCTGGACTATTGCAGTAGTCTCTTGGTCGGGCACCCTGCCTCATCTTTTCCCACTCCAAACCATCTTCTGTCACCTCCAGGATCAAATATAACTTGAAAGTTCTTCACAACCTGGCCTTTTCCTACTAGGGCAGTCTTCTTACATTTTATCTCCCTCCCCGTATTCTACAATCCACCTACATTGGCCTGGGAGGCAGTTAGGTGGCTCTGTGGAGAGAGGGCTGAGCCTGGAGTCAGGAAGACCTGAAATCCGGCTTCAGATATGTACTAGCCATATGACCTTGGGCAAGTAACTTAACCTCTGCCTCAGTTTCCTTAGCTGTAATAATATTATGTAAAAATAGCACCTACCTCCCAGGGTTGTTGTGACAATCAAATAAGATAGTGCCTGGCACATAGCAGGCACTTAATACCGTCCCTATTTACAGTGCCTCTGAACACAATGCTCCATTGCTCATTTCCATACATTTGTATTGGCTTTCTCCTATACTTGGAATCGTCTTGCTCCATCACCCCAACCTCCTGATTTCCCTAATTCCCTCCTCCTCCTCTCAGATTATTAAATGCGGTAAACTTGCATTTACTCCTTTATCTTTTATGTACCTTGTCGTTTACATTTTTTGCACCCATCAGAATGTGAGCTCCTTGAGGGCAGTCTTTTTTTTTGGTCTCCTTAGCACTTAACATAGTTCAAGGATTTAGTAAGCACTTCATGCATACTGATAGTCAAACTCATCTTTTGTCCAGTATCTATAATATATGCCTATAATTTGCTTCTGTTTTGGCCTTCACTGATTGCCTCTCTAAAATGTTCTTTGCCATGTTTCCACTCTTGGGTTCCTAGGTCTCCTCATGTTATCTTCTTTATGTGTAATGTTACTCCCATTGGAATGACTGCATTCCTTCTGAATAAAGCGCACCCTCATTCGGAAGCCACATTCTAGTCGAGTCTCATCCCACTAAGGCGCAGTGAGTGATACCTACATCAAATTTACCTCTTGTGTTGGGATTTCTAGTACTGATAATTAGCTATGGCATATAAAAATGGATGTACATTTATATGTATATACACATGTATAAATACAAAAATGTTTACATGTAAACATAAAATTATGTATACATGTATACACATTAAAATGCATTACATTTATATATATATGATATGTCTATATAAATGTAAAAGGGTACACTTTATTCAGAAGGAATGCAGTCATTCCAATGGGTGTAACCTGAGGCTTATCAGTTTTCTAGTTTCTCAGATATAGTCTCCTATGGATTACTGGTTCCCTCTTCTATTCTTGTAAGGACTTTCTATAGCATCAAGCTTGGCAGCTAAATGTTGGCAGGTTCTTTTCTTTCCCCTTAAAGCCATTTTGATCAGATTCAAAAGACTCCAAAGAAATCCAGGAATTCCTTTGCTGTTTACTGTCAATACAAGAGGAAGCCTGCTACAACACTGAAAGTACTGGACTAGAAATCAGGGGACCTGGGTTGGAATTCTGGCTTTGCTACCTGTGTAGCTGGTCACTTAACAACTACTAGTCTTCCCATTGTATTGTTTCAACTCTTTCCTTCATATTTGGAAATAGCCATTTAAATGCACTCATGCACTGATATGATGGTTTAGCCCTGGACCTTTCCCCCAAACCAGGCTAACACAAATTCATCTATCTTCCTCCATGAGGCAGTATGGCTTCATGGAGGAAGTGGGTTCAAATCCTGCCTCAGACACTTAACAGCTATAGGGGACCCCAGGAAAGTCACTTAACATCTCAGTCTCCCCCCATCTGTAAAAGAAGGGGCTTGGAATCAATGGCTCCTGAAGGTCCCTTCCAGCTCTAAATTTATGATCCTAAAACTCTGATTAGGAACGGAAGGCAAGGCGTTTTAAGGGAAGGCAGCCACCACTCTTCTGCATTTGTCTCAATTTTCCAGCCAAACAAGAAGGCTTGAGGAGCTAGGGAAAATCCAGACCAGACAGCACTTTAAGGAAACTAGAATCACTTCTCTGGTCAGCCACACCACTCTACCTGCCATTCTGCATAATACATATACCTGAGACTTTGGATGATGATTCAGAGCCTAAAGTTCTCTGGAAGAGGGTAGGATCACTTATAGAAATAGAAGCATCAGGCCCTTTGCTTGACTCTAGTCCCATTCTTAAACTTTTGGAGTTAAAAAGAGGTGGCAGTACAGATTCCTCTGTGTATAAACAGTAGTCTACAACCTTTTCAAGAAAGTGACATTTCCTCTCTTTCCTATAAAGTCTCTAGTTCAGCTATGGGGATGGATTTTGTCCATCTGGATGAGTTGTGATGTGTAATAATGGTTACTGGCTCATGTTTGTTTAGTTGGGGATTCTCTGAAGCAGAGACTGTGGAGTCCAAAATGGAGTTCATAAATATACTTCAATTCACACATGGGGTCTCCATCCAAGGTACTCATACATGTACATCATATCTCACTTCTCACAACTCCTACAAAGTAGGGAAGCTAAGGAGACGAGAACAGCCAGGCCCACATCCTATTTGGCATTGTCCATGGTCACTAAGTGAGGCCCTGGAAATTGGGCTCTGTACATTGGGGCAGGGCCATCTGCTGGCTCAAAAGTTTGTCCATGATGCTAATTTCAGCATCTTGCTTCCCAATGTTGTCATATGGAGTCCAGGAGAGGTCATGCTGAAGCTTGTAGGCACCAAGGAAATCATGTGGACAACTTTTCCCCCATTCCTAGAAAAGGCAAAAAAGCCAGATAAATATACTGTACCTTTCTGTGTTTAACCCCACCCCCACCCCCCACTTCACTACATTCTTATGCTGTGATTTCTATTGTAGTTGTAAAAGTCAGTTACCTGAGAAATTGTCCAAGTCTGATACTTATATGCTAAGGTATGACCATCATTCATTTGTCTCTAAGAATCCCCCAGGACTGGTGAGGCATGGCTCATTAAATAGGGAATGAACTAAATTAATAACAATTAAGTTAAAACACTGAAATTGCATTACGTGGATATTGACGTAAATATGCACATACATATACACACACGTGTATATGTACATACGCATGTATCAAGCTAAACTTTGAACATTCCCCTGGATCTCTTGACAATGCATGGGTACTAATACAGCACACATGTTGTCCATAAGTTATCTTTTGCTTTCTGCAAACTTGCTTCTCCTTTCACTTCATGCTTCATGCTGTTCTTGATTTGTTTGTTTGTTTGTTTGTTTGTTTTGTTTTTGCTAGGCAATGGGGTTAAGTGACTTGCCCAGGGTCACATAGCTAGTCAGTGTTATGTGTCTGAGGCTGGATTTGAACTCAGGTCCTCCTGAATCCAGGGCCCGTGCTCTATCCACTGCGCCACCTAGCTGCCCCCATGCACTATCTCTCATAATCCTCAATAAAATTTTACAAATGAGTTTATGTCCTAAACTAGTGTTGCCCTAGGCTAACATATCTGCCTGGCAAGATCCAGGTTTTGTTCGCTGAGTAAAGTGGTTTCTGGGTTTCTTTTGGTCTCTTATGACAACTGATTTACATTAGTTAAATTTCCTTAGGAAATGGTGATAATTTCTATCAATGTCTGGTCTTTTGTCCATTTCCCAGGTTTTATCACCATTAGATTGTCTAAAAATGTCAGGCTGAAATTGCTTTAATTGCACCAAATTCCTACTTACTTTTATTATTCTAATTTGCTGTTGATTTTGACCTTGTCTCTAACCAGTCACCAATCTGACACTGACAGCTGCTTTGAAATTCTCCTCCTAGTTATTTCCTATCTATTAATATGTAATCAATTTCATTTTCTAAGATGTTATTCAGTGATTGCCATGTTCTGTGCCCTGATTCTCCCCTTAAACAAAATATTCATGATAAACACATGTAGTCTTACATGCCTTCGGCCTCCTTCCTTTCTTACTCCCGAGGCATATATTTTTCTAACATATTTTCATCACCTTCTCTTCCTGCCCACCTTCCCACGGAAGTCACTGAGTTAAGAGGGTCTTATTGAGTTCTCTACCTCCTCATTCTCTGCAACATGTGTTGGCACATAAGCTACAATTCTCTCTGTGGTGTTTTTACAAATGTTCACAAGCATTTCAACAGATGGCCAAATGTCCCAGGAAATGATGCTTTTTGTTGTCTTTGAATGAACCATAAAACCAACTCTGCCAGTGCCTTATCTGTCTAGGGAGGTCTTTGTGCAGAGTGCTGGCTCTGTGGTCAGAACTCCACCTCAGAAGCTTATTACCTGTGCAATCTTGGGTAAATCACTTACTCTCCCTGGGCCTGAGTTTCCTCATCTTTAAAGTAAGGGGGCTGGATGAGACAGTCTCTGTGGTCCCTTCCAGCTCAATATCTATGTCCCTGTGATCATTCCATCTTGCTGTCACTTCCTTCTATCTCCTAGTTTTATTTATAGAAAGAATAAATATTGACATGTTTTCTTCCTCCAGTACCAGGTCTATTTGGTGGTCACTGGATCTCATACTTTATCAACGCTTAATTAATTAATTAATTAATTAATTAATTAATTAATTAATTAATTAATGTTTATAGATGGTGTAAAAACTGTGATTCTTTTAGCACCCTGCTCCCACCCCACTCTCACCCCTGGCCACTATTAGTGCAAAAGCAAAAAAGGGGCCACGTAAGATTCAGGAGCATCATTTTCTTTCTTTCTTTTTTTTAAAGTTACCATAGCTAATGAATTAATCACTTTGTGGAACACCTACTTGTGACAAACCTTTACATATGTAGCTAGTTGATCCTTGGAAATCAGAGTCTGTTGGTAGGACTATACTTAGCCTCACCTTCCCCTCCAAAAAAAAAAATTCCCCACAGCCCTTTTGTGGGGAATGTGAACAGCCCTTTGCCTTTGGCAGCTCCACAAATGCCCTCTTGTGGGTCTCACAAAGAGATTTGTTAAAGGGCAAACTGACTCAGTTGTTTGCTCAGCAGGATCCTGTCTCACCCTGACCAAGAATGCAGTCCTCCTACCTTTGGTGAAAGGATGGAAAGGTATTGCTGTCCATTCTCCCGTTTATAGAGGTAGTAAATATTTCCAGGTTTTTTCACCATATTACAAGCTGCATGGTGCAGTTCAGCATCTCTCTGAGCCTCTTCCAATACCTGGGTACCACAAAAAAACAACAAAAGAAGCAATGGACAGAATCTGTACTCACAGTCATCCAGTTATAGATTTTTTTCTATCTGAAGGGGGCTTTGGTTTTCTGGCTTTTCCCACAATAGTGAATATCAAACTGAGATATTTGGGCAGTTCTGAAGAACTGAGAACTAGACTATTTTTAATGCACAGCACTACCCTGAGTCTTCTCTCAATCAGATACTACCTTATTCTCAATTTTGTTTGTTACAGTCCCTTAGTTTCCACTGGTCGTGGTTTTTTTTTTATTATTAAACATGCCCCCAATTGTATACTTCCCAGGAGGATTAGAAGGATCCTTTTTGTATCTGCATCGCTATCTAGTCCAAATAAGTCTTCCTGCCCATACCCACAGATGGTACTTACCTTGCCTTCAGAGAGATGAGCTATGACTGACTTATATGTTTATATTCTAACAGGCTTGTTTGCAAATCTAACTGGAAGAGCATGCCCTAACATGGGAAACTCTATTAGAGAATTATGCAATAGTTGCCCATGATTACAATACAACTTTGTAACACTTAAGGCTTTACTTTGTAACACTGAGGACTGAGGTTTTTGCTGGTTTAGGTTACTAGAAACTGTATCAAAATCTTTATCCTTTGTGTCATTTCTTCCTAAGAGCTTCCCAAACTGGATTAAGGCCTGAGAAGAACACCCAACAGGACTAGACTCTGGCCTGAATTGTTGAATTGACTATTTCACAATTTCTCCCCACCTCACTCCCACTCCACTGCCTACTGATCTGACAGAGCTACATGGTTAATACTTGGTTTGCTCGAGCAGACTGGCAGTTATATAAAAAAAAATCCAACTTCGGCCTGGAAAATAAACATAAAAAAATAAGAAGCCTGTCCCTAAACCCTGGGAACAAAAGCAGTATTTTCCTTACCTTCCTGGCCTGTGTTTGCAAATGCCGGATTTGCTCAGCTATAACTATCAGCTTGTTGGTAGCATTTGCTCTGATGAATTCATCAGCCTATGAAAGAGAAGAAAACTCACTGAAGGCTTGAAAAGGCTAAGCCTTCCTATGAGCTAAAAGTCATACAGAACCCTTATATAAGCATACATCTATTCATCAGGCAGGCAATTAACAAGCATTTATTATAAGTCCTTACACTATACTATGAATGGGGGATACAAAGAATGACCAAAAACAAGTAAATAAATAAATAAAAGCTACCACCAACAAAAAACAAACCGTGGTTTCTGCCTTAGAGGAGTTCACATCCTAATGGGAGAGACAACATGCCAAAAAAAAAAAGACATGCAAGATATACACAGTAATCTCACAAGGAAGGCAGTAGCAGTTGTGGGGGTGAGGGTGGGATAGGGAGGAGGCAGAATGGATCACCAGAAAAGACCTCCCTCAGAAGGTGGAATATGACCATCTTAAAGGAGCCAAGAGAAGGAGAGGTGAAGAGTCAGAGCATTCCAGCAATGGCATATTTATCACTGAAAAAGCATGGAGCTAGGAAATGGAGTATCATGTTCATGGAACAGCAAGCATATGGAGGAGAGAAAAGTATAAAAAGACTGGAAACATGGAAAGGATATAGGTTATGAACAGCTTGAAAAGAAAACATCAGATTTTATATTTGATATTGGTGATAACAGGAAGCCACTAAAGTTAACTGAGTAGGGGAGTTATATGGTCAGACCTGCACTTTAACAAAATTACTTTGGTAACTGAGTGGAGAAAAGACTGGGGTGGGGAGACAAGGGGCAGGAAGACCAACCAGAAGGTTACTGGAATAGTTCAAGTATAAGGTGATAAGGGTCTGCAGGAGTGACAAGGGCCGTGTGTGTGTGTGCCTGTGAAGAAGGAGGGGCCACTACAGTGATAGGGAAGTTGGGAAGGGTACTATGTTAGACACTAAGAAAGACAGAAAAATATTTACAGTTCATGCCCTCAAGGTTCTTACAACTTAAAGTTATCCTAACAATTCACTAATGGAAAGAATAATAGCCACAGGAGTCATATCTATCCTCTAATCCTGGTTATGTCACTTATCAACCAGTCAATAAACATTTATTACATTATTTATTAAGTGCCAACATGGTGCTAAGTGCTTTACAAATATTATCTCATTTGATCCTCACCACAACTCTGAGAGGTAGGTGTTCTTATTATCCCCTATAATGTTGAAGAAAGCTGAGGCACAGAGGTTAAGTGACTTGCCCAAAGTCAGAACTCAGGTTTTCTTGACTCCAGGCCCACTGCTCAATTTGAACTAGCTGCCAGAGGAATACCATATCCCTTCCAAACAACATACTTAGCATTTTTTTTTAGTATGAGAAAACATGGAAGGATTAGCCCTATCACAGATCAATATATTAAAGATCTACTAGGGATCTCCTAACAAACTCTATATAGCCACCAGTGAAAACTCCAATAGGGCCAGATCCCTTGACATTCTATACACATTCAAAGTAAACAGGAAGAACTCTGAAGCATTCTCAAGTAACTTGAATTCTCCAATTAGATTCCCTAATCTATGCTTCCTCAGCAGTTATGTTCCTAAGTCATGTAATTCAATCCTTTATCATTTCAATCACCTACTACATGCAATGCACTGTGCTAGGAAAAACTGATGAACAGACTATCCTTTACTTACAATCTAGTAGGATCCATTTGATGTTCTAGAGACTTCCCTCTGAAGTAAAGATGCAAATGCAAAGTACATAAAATGTAAATGTAAAGATCTCCTTCAGACCAGTGGGTCACTCAGGCTGTTATGTTTCCTCACTCCTGCCACATAATCAGCCTACTTCCTTTTCTGATCTTACATTTCTTTGATGATATCTCTTATAACTACTTCTTTTATGTAGGTCATTATTGGTATAAAGGCATTTTACAAATTAGAATATATAAACACACAAGGAATATGAAGTGCTATTTTAACTGTTTATGTGATATATACATATACATATATTACACACATACATATGCACACATACATGTTATATACTACTCAATGTTACCTAATTGTTTCTTGCATATTTCTTGTATGTGTGTTGTCTCCCCAACTAACCCCCCCATAAAAGGGCCAAGTCTTATATTCTCTATTTCCGCCACCTCCTCCCCACAAGTAGCAAATAAGACAATTCTGAGAATATAGTAGACACTCAATAATTGCTGTTGACTGTCCGTAGAATATTTACATAGTTAGCACATAAGCTTGGAAGGTAAAAACTGTGCCTTCTATTCTAGGCCAGTTTTCTGTACAGAAGTCTGATACTATACCACTGATCTACCTGGATAAATGACCATCTTGTGACCCACAGTAATACTTTTCTTCCGACTATAGAAAGTAGAAAATATGAGTCATTTATAAAACAAGTAATCTTTAGAGGTAAAGTGCAGAAGAAATAGCGTGTGATGAAATTTCCACTGTAAATGAAATCCATGTGAGACTGAAAACCGAGGGAATTTGGGAAAATCACCTATTGTACTGTTATCCATAGGTATAGTAGCCCCATACTAAGACTTTTCATAGAATTTTTGAGTGAGATCATCTAGTTGAACCCACAACTGAAGGCAGCAATGATACTGTGAAAGAACATTTGGCTCCAGTCAGAAAATAATGGTTTCAAATCTCATTTCTGATAACTTCTATCTGTGCAACCTTGGGCAAGTCCCTTAACCTTCTTTCAGTTTCCTCATCTGTAAAATAGAAGGGGTTGTATTTGAAGGCCTCTGAGATTCCTTCTAGCTCTGATCATTATCAACAAGCAATTTATTAAGCACCTGCTATATGCCAGGCACTGTGCTAAGCCCTGGGGATACAAAGAAAGGCAAAAATAGTACTGCCCTCAAAGAATTTGCTGTCTAATGAGGGAAACATGCAAACAACTAAGTATAAACAAGATATATAAATATCTAAACATCAGCTGTGACCACCATCATCAGGTAATAGACAATGGTCTCCCCAACCTCCCAAGGACAGATTCTCCTTAATCTTGCCACAGGTTATGACAGCTTTCTCCATCCTTCTTTCTCCTCCAAAAAAAGACTAAGGTCTTTCTCTATCCCCACAAAGTCAGATCCTCTCTAGCCTTGACCCTAAAAGCCAGGTCCTCTGTCTCTCCTCCTCTCTTCCTCCCTATCCTGCCAAACTCCAAGTCCTCTCCCTCCCCCTCCCCCAGGCCAGGTCCTTCCCCCCCACCCCAGGTCTTCTGTCTCCCCCTCTCTCCCACTCCCCAAGTATTTTCTCTCCCTCCCGTCCCCCTTTCACCACGACCCATGTATTCTCCCCCCCCATATATTCTCTCTCCTCCTTCCTCCCACCTCCCCAGGTATTCTCTCTCCTACCTCCCCAGGTATTCTGCACCCCACCCCCATATTCTCTCCTCCCTCCCACCTCCCCAGGTATTCTCTCCCCCCATTCCACCTACTTTCTCCCCTCCCTCCCCATCCAGATCCTCCCGCCCGAGGTCCCCCTCACCTTCTGCACCTGCTGGGCGAGCTCCACGAGGTCTTCGGGGTTCCCCACGCGGCGGGCGCGGTACGGGCTCACCAGGCCGAGGAAAGTGGGCTCGGTGGAGACGGTGGGGCCGCAGTGGCACTCTACGGGAGGCCCTGCGGGAGTAACATGGGCCCTGAGCACATGGGCGGCGGACGCCAGGCACTCCCCTCTACCCAGCCGCCCCGAGCCCTCCCTACCTGGCAGCGGCTCCTTCCCCGCGCCCCCCATGTCCTCTTCGGAGACCGCCGCCTCAGGAGCCGCCATATTCCCAGCCCAAATCTAGAGAAGCCGGACAGGTGACGCAGGCGCAGTGAGGAAGTGGCCGGCTGTGTCCTAATAGCAGGGTACGTCAGGGGGCGTGGTTTTGAGCTGAGGTCGCGCCTCCAAGGGCGGGGCAGACGGGACTAAGCTTGCTGCCTCCTGCGAAGGAAATTGGGCTTCCTTGTAGAGACAGGTCGCTGAAAGTTCCGTTTAGGAAGCCCTCAGGGGCAGGGCTCTGCTCTGAAGGTGCCGCCTCCATTCAGAGGAGCGGAGAAGATTAGAGGAATGGTTTCTATCTAGGCTGGGGGTGGGATTCTACTGTGGGGGCGGAGCTGCGTTCTGAGAGCTGTGTTCTGAAGGCTTACCTCTGGCCTGAGAGGCGGGGGCGGGGACGTAGCTGCAATCTAGGTTGAGGAGGGGCTCTGCTCTGGGGAAAGACTTCTGACAATGGTGCTGTAGTCTAAGATTTCACCTCGAGAGGAAAGAGGAACGTAGGGGTGGTGAATCAGTCTAGGGGCAGGGATTTTGTGTATGTGTGTGGGGCTCTTGTCTCCCAAGGGTGTATTGGTCTGGGGGGGATGCTTTACTCTGGGGGGCAGGCGTAGGTCCAGAGGTGGGGCTTACCTTTTGGGGAGGTCTACGGGCAAAACATCCTGCGGAGGCGGTGCATTGCTCTAAGGGTGGGGCTTCATCCATTGGGGGCGGTGAGTAAATCTAGGGGTGGGGCTGGTTCTCCGAGGAGGTCCAAAGACGCGGCTTCACCCTTTGGGGGCGGGGCTCATTCTCTGGGGCAATCAAAGAGCGAGGTTTCGCCCTGTGGGGGCAGGGCGCGGGTCTAGGGGCGGATATTAACCCTTTGGGGGTGGTGCATGAGTCTAGGGGCAGGGCTCACCCCTTTAGGGAAGCCTGAGGGCGGGGCTACCCTGTGGGGGCGGTGCGTGGGTCTAGGGGCGGGGTTAGCATCGTGGGGCGGAGCTCCAGGCAAGCGGTGGGTAGCTGCCGGCCGGTCCGTTAGGTGTGCACCGTCGGCTATGGCCTGGCACGCTCTGTGGATGTGGTTGTCCTTGGCCGGGGCGGGGGCCGAGGCCTGGCTCTGGACTGCGGCGGACCCGGGGACGGCGGCTGCGGCGACGGGGCTGGAGTCGGCCGAAGGCCCGGACGGGCTGTTCGCGGCGGGCGCCGCGGCCTACGCGCGCGGGGACTGGGCTGCGGTGGTGCTCCACATGGAGCGCGCGCTGCGCTCCCGGGCCGCGCTCCGCGCCCTGCGCCTGCGCTGCCGCTCTCAGTGCGCCGCCCAGAACCCCTGGGAGCCCGAGCCTGGGCCGGGACCAGGGCCGGGGCCCGAGGCCGAGGCGGGCCGGGCCGCGGCGGCCCTGCACGACCTGCGCTTCTTCGGGAGGCTGCTGCGGCGTGCCGCCTGCCTCCGCGGCTGCCTGGGCCCGCCCGCCGCGCACACCCTCAGCGAGGAGCTGGAGCTGGAGTTCCGCAAGCGGAGCCCCTACAACTACCTACAAGTGGCCTACTTCAAGGTGGGGCGGCGGCGGGGGGCCGAACGGGGGCGGGGGGGGTGACCACGGTCAAGCCCCGGGGGAGAAAGAGCTCCCCAGCCCCTAGAGAGAGCTGCTCCGAAATGAATGCGCCGGCGTCGTAGGTGGTGAGCGCCCCATCACGGGAAGTCTTCAAGCAAAGGCTGCATAACCGCTTGGGCATATTACAGAGGGGACTCCTGTTCAGATACAGTATGGACTCTCTGTCTCCAAGGTGTCTTCCCACTCCTGAGGGTCTGTGGACTTTGCTGATGGGATTCCCCCATCCCCTCCAGGCTACCTTAGGAAACTGGCCGTATCAGAGCCTGAATTTTGATAAGGGGTTTTGAGAATGAAATGCAAGTGTGACCCAGACTTAAGTTTCTAGAGCTTGGAGGCACATCTTCCCTTTGAGCTCCTGCCCCAACCCAGGGATCCTGGATGAGCTAGCTATCTGCCTACTGGCCCTAAAGTTAATTTAGTTGATGGTGCATCGTAGACAAAGTTGCAGCGCTTGGTTTCTGGCCAGTGCTTTTCCCTAAGTTTCTCAGCCCCATCTCTTCGAAAGCCTGGAAGAGGTAGAGGAACCACAAGAACAGTATTTTGCAGGCCTTTTCGTGACTTTTCCTTTCCTTTCCTTTTCCTACCGACTCCAGCGCCTTCCGTTTCAGGGCCTGGAATGCCACGTAGCAGGCAGGGGGCCTCAGACTCCTCCCCGTCGGGGACCCTCTCAAGTTTCTGAGCAAAGTTAGAATACAGTTAGAAATTACAGACCGCTACTAGTCCTGTTTCTGGGCTCAGGTTATGGTTTATTTCTTTCCCTATTCAGTCACGCTGCTTTGACTTCATTAGGCTAGCCCATAAGGGTTAATTCAGTAGTGCCAACCCTTCAGTTTAGTTCTGCAGAATATTAGGAGTGGTTCAAGGAGGAGGGAACAAAAAAACCACGGAGGGTTGGGGCTCTGGGCAAGAGCTAGCAGTACCGATTATATGTTTTTCCGAAGTTCATCTTTAAAGAACAGACTTTTAATTCAGCCTGCAGACAAGGCACAAAGAATTTGGACTTAAATATCCATCTCCCCATAACATTTACCCTGAAAACATAGCTTTCCTTCTTTTCCTGGATCACCGCCCCCCCCACATCTTATAGATAATACAAAATTCTGCAAGATAGGCAGAATTCCTCTCCAAACTCACATCCCTTCGAAAACCTAATGATGTAACAACATAACCATAGGAAGGAAGGACAGTTCCCACTTCATGGGGGGGGGGGCGTGGAGATTTCAGTGCACGTATGAGGACATATGAGGAAACTGAGCCTGAAGAATTTAAGTGTTTTTTCCAATATCACAAAGCTTGTTAGTGATGGAGCTGGAAGTATAACTCCTCTCCAGAATGGATTTTGGGGTAGGAATCAATTGAGGCAATTAAGCATCTGCCTCGTGCCAGGCACCGTGCTAGTTACTAGAGATATAAAGACAAACACGAAATCATAATGATAGCTTACATTGACATAAGACTTTAAGCTTCACAAAGTGCTTTACAATTATCTCATTTGATCCTCACAACTACCCTATTATGCCTATTTTACAGATGAGGAAACTGAGGTAGATTGTGGTAAAGTGATTTAGCTGTCACACAGCTAGTAAGTGGCTAAGGCTGGATTTGAACTCAGGTCTTCCCGACTCCAGGCCTGGTGCTCTATTCCCACTGTGCCACTAGCTGCCCTTAATTATATCAAAGAGCTTAAGATTTGTCAGTAACACATCCTGTTTCTGGATATACCTGATCATTTAATTCTCCCCACCCCCATTTGTTTTTCAAAGTACTTAATAAGCCCAATGTCATTCTTTAAGGCCCTATACCCATCCTTACGTGTTTTTGTTGTTGGTCATCTCAGTTCCTGATTAGAATCCTGGAATTAGAAGATTGAGCAGTTATAAATGTAACCTTTGTTTTTCTTTTTAAAAGAAAAACCATGCACTATTGAGTGAAGCATTGCCCCTCTTAAAGTGTACCCCCAAGCCTGATCGGAGAACCATCTCTGCCACCTTATGTTTGTCCCAGAGAAACTGCTGTTCCTTTTAGTTCCTTTCAACCAGAGGCATGAAGAGTAGGGCTGGCCAGCATCAGCTCATGCTCTTAGAAGGAAATATTTGGGCCCAGTTGGCTGGAAAGGCCCTGAGGATTTCTGCTCACCGTTGGCTGTCCTCTTGGGTTGTAGTTGTTTGTGCCTCTCTTTTTCTGTGTCCCTGACGTGTCAATCAATCATTTGGTCAGTAAGGATTTACTAAGGGTGGCATTCACTCAGGTAGTGGATGAGATGCAAAGAAAGGCAGAGACATGGTGCCTGCTTTCCAGGAACTTGTGTTATGATAGGGGAGCCAACACAGGCTAGGCACATACAAGCTATAAGAGGTAGAAATGGGAGTAATTCCAGAGAGGACCAGGAAAGGTCTTGAAGAAAGGGGGTTTTAAGTTCAGTCTTCAAGGAAACCTGGAAAACCAGGAGGAATGAGGAGGTGAGGAGAGTGTCTCTCTAGTGATGATCTAGTCTAGGGATGGAGTGTGTTATACATGAACAGGCTCACAGTGCTCAATTATAGAATGGATCAGGGAGGAAAGCTTGGCAGACTTGGAAGGTGGGAAGGATTGAGTTGTAGAGGGCTTCTAATGTGGAGCAGAGCTGCTCGTATTGGACTCTGGAGGCCATAGGGAGCCATTGGCATTTGAGCAGGAGGTGACATAGTCAGTCCTGCTCTCCATGATAGCCAAGGGGCTGGAGGGCAGAGCTGGAGGCAGAGAGTCCCATTCGAAGGGAGGCTGTCTGCTTGGCACAGACTCCAGAACGGCTTCCCTTTGCTTCACTTCCAGATTAACAAGCTGGAGAAGGCCGTTGCAGCTGCAAACACCTTCTTTGTGGGGAACCCGGAGCACCTGGAGATGCGCCAGAACTTGGACTATTATCAAACGATGTCGGGGGTCAAGGAGGAGGACTTCAAGGACCTCGAGGCCAAACCCCACATGGTGAACCAGGGCCCCCAGTCTCCCTTTCCCTGCACCCTTTCTGTCTTGCCGCCTCTGTTAGCAGAGAAGACTCCCTCCCATTCTTCCAAAAGTCCTTGTGCACTTCTAAACTGGGAAATCTTTGCTTTTAGGTACATTAGAAACTACCTGCAAATGGTATCTCAAAGCCAGTTTATCTGAGTTTGGTCCAGGTGGGACATAGTTCTGACACTCAGGACAGTGAGTTCTGTCCCTTGGCCAGTGGTGCCCCAGGGCAGCATTCACTGCTTCCTACCAGACCAGGTACAACTTGTTTCTCTCAAACTGGCAGCCTGAATCATGAAAGCTGAAGAGTAAAAAATTTTAAGGCTGCACAGGGACTTTCTGAAGGCTCTTCTCCATTTTGTAAAGTGGAGCATGGCTTTAGGCTAATTAATAATTGATGGAGCTCCCTGAGCCTCAATCTCATCATCTGTAAAATGGAGACAATAATGCCTGAGTGCTTTATTATTATGTAAAAGGCTCTTATGGGAGCTTTTTGTAATTATCAATCTACAGGTCTTTATTTTTCCTACTAATATTTCTGTTAGGCGCACTTCACTCATTCCCTGAGTCTTTTTTAGGACTCAGATCTATAGGGACAGGAGCTGGTGTACCTTGTAGCAGTGGCCTGAGGGGAAGGAATGGTCCTTGCTTAGTTCAAGGCCTGGCAAGTTGAATCCCCTGTCCTCCCTCAAGCACGAGTTCCGGCTGGGTGTGCGGCTCTACTCCGAGGAACAGCCCCGTGAAGCGGTGCCCCATTTGGAGACAGCCCTGCAAGAGTATTTTGTGGCAGATGAGGAGTGCCGTGCCCTCTGTGAGGGCCCCTATGACTATGACGGATACAACTACCTCGAGTACAACGCCGACCTCTTCCAGTCCATCACAGGTGCTCACTGCTCTTCTCTACTCAAGGGACCTTTTCTGCATCTTTTTCTCTAGGACACATTTGGTTGCTACCTAAGTGGGGTCTGTATCCTGGAATGATGCCAGTGTAGCTTGAGGGGGATGGGGCTCTGGGCTGAGCCCCAGCCTGGGGGAAGGTGGGAGGCTTCCACTGCTTCTGCTCAGTGTGGCAGGAACCCACACTGTAAGCTCACTCTCTGACCCAGACTCTGCCTCATTGTCTA